ACTTCTTTTCCTCCCTGAATCGTTACCGAACACCAGCCGAGAGCTGAGGGCAGCGTGCCATGTCAGTGCATCTTTAAAGCTTGAACATGCAGAAATACCACCTGGGGATCTCGGGAGATGCACATTCTGATGCAAAAATCCTGGGTGGGTCCCGTGTGTGTGTTTTCTTTTTAGTTTTTTGCCATAGGGCATGTGCACTTGCCAGAGAAAGGGAAAGTGAGAAATCACTGCCTAGGGAGATGACCATACCGCAGACCCTTCTCCTTCATTCTCCTTTTGGGGTTTTGGATGTGCATGCACATGTGCCCAGCATGATTTTCAAGCTGCCACGTCCAGGATTCAAACCATAGTCAGCCATGTGGGAATCCAGGACCTTAGCCTCCATGCCACTGCTGGCCCTGAGTGTGTGTGTAATGGGCAAAACGTGATGCCGATGCTGCCGAGTCTCAGATCATACTTTATATCACGAGCTTTGGTTAAAGAAGAGTTAAACTAAGAGTGTTGGGGTTAGTTGAGTTTACTACTAGATATTGCTAATCTTAGAAATTTTCAACCAGTTCAGTTGGTTTCTGTATTAAAATGAATGTTCCCATTCCACTTTTATCATCAATCCCCTAAACTAGGACCACACATTCTTGCCAAGAGTTCAAGGTGTTTTGGCAGCTTGTATCTTTATTTTAAAGCAAGCCAGCCGCACGATTCTGGCAGGTGGCAGTTATGTTTGAAGTGTGTCCATTTCCCACCTCCTGGCGGGCTCAGTTCCATTTCCAGCTGACATAGGTTCTGGCCTTTTTGGTTACAGGACTTGACCAAAGTTCTGTGCCCACAGACGGGGCCATCCTGTCCGCTTCACCCTACTGATAGGCAAACATGGAATGGCCAGGCTTACCAGTCCTAAGTTTATGAAGACACAGAAGGCTCTCAGAATAACTGACACACCCTCCTTCAGACCACACACCTGGACGATGAGTTCTGCTCTGTAAGGCATGTATCCAAGAGGGCCGTCTCTGCCCAGCTACTTCCTGTTGACCTGGCATCTTGCCTGCCCAGCACTGACTCAACTCAGCAACGAAAAAGGCAGAATCAGCCACCCAAAGAAGACTTCATCCTTCTTGCCTCCAGATGCCCCGCTGACTACAGTCTGTATTTGTTGGCAATTAGGCTTTGGTCTGTCTCCACTCTTTCTCCATTACGAGAGAAGGCTAGCATAGGAGGTTGGTGAAAAACCATCATTTTCATAGATATTAAATACACAAAGATAGCAGAGGTTCTGTTCTATGCTTTATCACTGGGTAGTGCCCACTAACGTCACCTGGGCGAGAGCAAATCATTCGGGAAAAAATGGAGCTAAACATTTATCAGATGATAGAAATAACTATAGACGTGTCTGTATTGGCTGGCCAGAAGGCTGATGTTTTGGCTTTTAGTTGAGCCAGACCAAAAAGCAAGCACCCAGATTCCTTTAGGTAAACATAATTCTAAATGGCAAGCACAGGAGGGTGACGCGGGGGTCGAAGCAATAGAAGGACTGGGGAGAACGTGCAGAGACGAGAGCACGGAGAGTCCGAGCCAGGGTTCACTCCAAAGCCTCGGTTTTTCTCCCCAGTTAAAAAAAATACAATGTGATAAAATACACTTAGCTTAAAATGCAATGTACCATCTTAACCATTCTATTTTAGAGAGATTTTTTTGCCAGCGGGTGTGCACGCTCACTGGAGAGACAGAAAGGGAGAAATCACCCCCCAGGGTGGATGGCCACGCCGCAGTCCCTTCTCCTTTCGGGATCTTGGGCACACATGTACATGCACCTGGCCTGAATTTCAAGCTGTTGGGGCTGGAACTCAAACTGCAGTCAACCATATGGGAGTCCAGCGACATAACCGTTACGCCACCTGCTGTTCCCCCACCTTGACCATTCTTAAGCGTGCAGTGGGTGGAACTGAGTATTCACGCTGCTGTGTGACCATCCCCACCACCAGCCAGGTCTTCCACCTGCCCAAACTGAAGCTCCGTACCCTTCAAACAACCTCCCCATTCCACCCTCCCTGGAGCCGCCACCCTCTGTCTAACCTGGCTACTCCCGGTACTTCATAAAAGGAGATTCGCTCAGTAGGTGTCCTTGTGTGACTGCCTTATCCTGCCTTCCATACTCGGAGCGCATGCCAACATTTCCTTTTGTGGCTAAGTAATACTCATTGTATGTGTGCACCACGTTTTGAAAAGCCTAGCTATTAACCGCAATCCCGAACGAAGATGCGCAACTCCTGGTAGATATTTAATAACTGTGTTTAGAGGTTTTTGTCTTAGGGCGTGTGAGACAGACAGTGAGAGGGAAAGACCTCCCTGGTGTGATGGCCACACTGCAGTCCCTTCATTCTTCCAGAATTGAGCATGCACGTGCGCCCGGCTGGGGGAGAGAGTCCAGTGACGTCACCACCATGTCATCTGCTGGTCCCGATGTTTAATAACTAAAAAACATTTTTTCTTTGGAATAATTTCAGACTTATAGAAAAGTTGTAGGATGAATGCAATCAACACTTTCTCCTGAACCATTTAAGAGTCTTTGCTGACCTGTGCTCCATTGCCCCCCAAGTTCCTAAACATATCCCTACAAAGGGCAGTCTTCAACATGGTGACGATAAAGGCATCAGGAAATGAGCACCGATGCATGCCTGCCCTCTGATCAGTATCGCCAGTTGTCCCGACTCGTCCTGTCTAGCCAAGGGACCCCGTTAGAATTACATGGTCCATTTCATTGTCACGTGGCTTCTGTCTCCTTTGATCTGGAATAACTCCTGGACACCTTTAATACTCCGGGGCAGGCAGACCTCGTGCAGGGTATCCCCGAGCTGATCTGTCCAGCGACTCCGCCTGACATTGGGATTCTGCATCTTCGGCAGGAGCATCACCAGAACCGTGCTCTCCCGAGGGCAGCCTTGCCCGATTCCGATCGCCCTGTGCTGGCCACGGGAACTTGGGTCACTTGGCAGATAGTGTCTGCCGGGTGGTTCTCTTAGCCCTTTGTAATGAATTGGCTTTGTAGTTTGAGTCTGTAACGGTCCTGGTCCTGTTGCTCACCAGACGTTCACGCCTATCAGTGTTTCTTGGTTGGATTAAGGTTGGGGAGAGCCACCCAATAGCAATGTGGCACCTCCTCCACTCCCTCTGCATCTGTTAGTTGGCGTGCTGCTGTAAGAAGCGTCCTCTTCCCCTGTTGTCTATCCACTCACTTCTATTCCTCATTGATCTGTGGGCTGTAATAGATTCTAATAGGTTCTGATAGCTGGTGTTAGTTTTCTTCCGCCTGGACCATCCCGGATTTGGCCGGGGGCGACCCTCCTGGCCGGCCGGCCTTTGGCAAAGGCAGCGCCCCGCGTGGTCCAGCCTGTTTTCCATTCTGCACTTTTCCATCTCCCTGGGCGTTTCCTCCCTTTCCGGCATGCCCAGGAGCTCCCAGCTCGCTTTGCACCTCCGCCACCGTTCTGGCCTCGGCCCTTTCTCCTGGTATTCAAAACTTGGGTCTGGGTTCCGAGGGCGCCGCCACTGGCTGTTCTTTCTTGCAGCCTTGCTCTTCCTCGCTGCCTGCCGCCGTCCTCTGCTTTTCTGACAGACTCCTGCTTCATTGTATCAGTCACCCGAGCACAAAAGCATCCTCCCATCTCTGCCATCACCCCAAGCCCGCAGTCCTCACCCCGTGCCAGCCCCGACAACGCATCCCTGTATCACCCCAAACCTGCAGAGTCCTCACCCCCTGCCAGCCCCGACACCCCATCCCTGTATCACCCCAAACCCGCAGTCCTCACCCCGTGCCAGCCCCGACACCCCATCCCTGTACACCGCCATCCTCCATGCCCCGGACTCACCCAGTGGCTCAATAGCTATAACCCTTTGACCTGGTCCCCACTTTGAGGTCATATGCTAAGAACGGGCAGCTCCGTCCTGGGACGGTAACACCCACGTAACAGCCCCTGGCCAGGTGGGGTAGTCTGCTGTGAGAGGAAGCCACCTCCTCGACTGGTACAGCAGCGAGGGCAGGCGTAGAGCCAGGCTGGCCCACGGCTTTCACTCTGTCCACACTGTTCTTTGGGCTCTGCCTCACCCGCGAAAGTGTTCTGAGCCCCTGTTGTGGCTCAGAGTCGGCCATGCTGGTAGGCGTGTCTCTCAATGTCTCTGGGGCTTGTTCCTCATTCATCAGCTGGGACCCTCGCGAACATACCCACCAGATTGGTCAACATCCACGCTGCTGTTCTCATGAGCTGCGGAAACGAACTGAAATTTATTTATATCCCGTAAGTAATTAATAAGCTAAGATTTGACTGGTTCCCATTCCAAGCACAAATCTCTCCATAAACGCTTGGGCCAAGGGAATGAAAACACAGGAAACATTATTGGATGAAATCGCTATAAAAGGAGTATTGTAATATGTCATTCCACCACTTTTCCTCATTAAGCTTATGCTGGGAACATCTTGTGGTTTGCTGTTATAAAATGGGCCCCATCTAACCTGGAGACCCAGGACCTCTGTCCCACGCTGGCCCGGCCTCACGCCTCCCACAAGGTTCCTGCTCACACTTTGACGCTGATCAAGTG